TATAATTTATTAATTTTCAAATATTTATATTTATTTTTTAATGTAAATAAAAAAGAAATGAAAATAAATTAAATGTAAATTGATTTAAATAAAAACAATGTTCCATTTTAATTTTAATTGTAGTTAAATCATTGTATTTTTTCAATTTTTACTAGTTTTATGTATGTTTATATAGTTTTATTACTTTACTTTTTCAGTTTTAGTTTATTTTGGTACATAAAGTTAAACTTAAAATGAGAAATGTAACTGAAATAAAGTTTTTTTATTTTTTTTTTATTTCAAGAAATAAATATTTTTTATGCTTTTAGTTTCAGTTTTAGCTTACTATAATAACCCTAATTTTTATTTATTTAATTTATTATAATTGTTTTGAAAGTACATGGACATATATGGATGTTAATAGCAGGTATCTTTATGTATGTCTTAGCAGATACATAGAAACCATTGTTTACACTTGAACACAATTCATATTTTAAGGCCAGAAAGATGCGCTTAAATGAGAGAAAGCAAACCGCATTCTTACAACAGAAATGCTATTTTTGTGTTCTCTTTTTACAGATAATACAGATATGTCATACTTTTAGCTGATGGACCGCAGAGACACAACAAGTCTGGTTGCCTTTGATCTTTAATAATGACTGTGCCTCACCAAACCTGTAAAACTTTCACACTGTGCTCTTATATTTTTATGCTAACCTCCTTTTTTAATACCTTCTTTAATCAATAAATAAGTCTACTCAATGTTATGTCTGTGTGGTGGTGACTTATTTAATCTTGGTGGAGAAGCTGTGTCTGGAAGGGTGTCACAGTCTCTCAGATGCTATTTCTTACTCTTCAGCTGTTATTAGGGTGGGACAGCTGGATATCGTATGGCTTTTTCTGATCTACCATCCTCGAGGTATTAAATGCAGGTGGAAGGAAGTACATTTCAGTACAGAAAAAGCATCTGCTTGTCGAGTGGGGCTGGGCGGTACAGCTTAATGCATTTCCACTTCATATATGTATTCAGCGACGTTGGAAAACGAGTCACCGTAGGCATTGTGTGTGCTGCTTTGAGCCGGTTGGAGAAGTAGAATTAAGATGTGATTTACACCCTGCCATAAAAATGCAGCACGTACTCTTCATTGCCTCGTACGCGCCATTGTGCACTACTTTTCATTTTGACTAGATTATGTGATAGCCGGCTTTCAGCTATTTCCTCATTTTTATTGTTCATTGTATTCAAGAAGCCGTGACTTTGGTAGCGTAACGTGCTTAGTTTGAACCATGATGCTCAAGGCTTACTGTTGTAAATCAGCGCTGTCCCCTGTGTCTTTATCCTCATTTAGTTTAGTATGCAATTGAATATGACCCCAGCATCTTCATGTTTTTCATAGTTCTATGGAAATTCAGGTGATTGTGTCTAAAGACAACATGCATTCACAACACATTTAACTTCTGTAATGCAACATATTTATATGTAAAACAGTATATTCAATGAGAAATTAATATGGGATGGGACTTGACTGTGTGTTGGATTTGATTCAATTGCTATGAAGGGGAAGAAGGTTTTTTTTTTTTCAATTTAGTTATGGAAAGATAGTTTTTTCTTTAAATAAGAAATAAAAATTTTATTTCTTTTAAGGAAATAAAATAAGACCAAGGACGTGTTATAAAATCAAATAGGTCAATTTTGATTTCATGTTGTCATTTAAACACACTGTGTGTGTGGTATTTTTATTCTCAGTCACTACGAAGTCTGCGAAATAAAAGGAATGTTTACAATATATATCACTATTATTATACCGGTACTTTTTTTTTTAAATAATGCTTTTAATGTGTTTTTTGACAATTATTATTTTTAAGTCTGCATTTGTGGGTGTGATTAAAAAAAAAAAA